CACACACACACACACACACACACACACACACACAAACAAACATATGTGAATACACATTGCATGCTCTTGACAGGTGTGTCTTTGACAGCCTGTCATTTCAGCCCTTACACCAGATGGCATCAAGATTATTATAAGTACAATAGTTGTTATTCTTAAACTCTACAAATGTCTAAAAACTAAAACTATCTTATTTACTACAGCTAGTGTAGCTAATTTACAAATTTGCCATTTCCAAAAAATAGCCATAAACTTAAAAAATTGCTTTTGGTTTAAAAATATGACCTTGAATTTTTCCTCCATGTTGACCTTTTGTAAGTAAGCAGAGGTTTCCCAGTCGACTCTTCTCATAAATTTTTCATCCGACTCGTTTCTCCTTCTCTTGAATTCGGGCTCATTCTCAGACTTGTGCTCAACTTGTTTATATTTATTTCCTAAAAGTAATTATTGATAATAATATTATGAATAATAATTTAAAAAATAATATTTTATAATATATTTTATAATAATAATAATTTTATTATTAATTGTTAACTATTGATATTACTGTTTCGTTTAGGATTTTTCAAATGTTCTACTAAATCAGACTTCAACTTTGCAATTTCCTGAACTTTACCAGAATATTCTTGCTTGAGTGATTTTGGCTTTAAGTCGAAACTGGAAATATTTTAATTTTAAATTAAAATTATGAATCCATGGATTAAATACCAAATTTGCAAATAGAACCAATTCTTAAAATTAAAAAATCAAATATTACATAATTTTTACTAACACAACACTAACTTAACTAGTAATACTAACAACAAATATTAATTAATTATTGAATTAAACTAATAACATAACGGCATAATCTTATATCTGAAAATTAAAAATTGCGCCCTTAATTTTAATAGCGTAAGTCTGGTAAGATTACAAGATCGGGTTATTAAAAATAAAAAGGGACATGAGCTACTAAAAACTAACTAAATGGTGCAAAATTTACCTTTTTAAATTTATTACAATTTATTTTCAACTCTTTCTTTAACATTTTTTTGGATTATACAGTGAAGAGACATAAGATTTTGCCTAACATAAAAAAACTAACAAACACTAACTACTAACATCTAAGTTATAATAGATTCTAACTTACTCTCGTTTTGATCTCAACGCTGGGTCAGGATAACTAACATTACCATCGTCATCCGCGGTCGGAACTAATTTTATTTTTTTATGCTTTTTAGATCTTCTGGCTTTTGTTATAGATTTAGTCGCGGACATTTTTATGAAAGATTTATTAACAAGAAATAACAAAATTACGTTTAAAACATTTTAATTGAATTCACTTTTATAAACAAAACAACCCAACGTGCGCGATCTATCTAATAGTCGCAATCGTAGTACTTAATTAAATTAACAAACAATGTGTTGTTGAAAATATGTATAAAATATAACATAATATATATGTAATATATATTATATATAAAACATATATATAAAATTTTATATATATGATTACGTATGCATAATAGTAACGCTGTTTTGTAATGCATTCGTTGTATATATTCATATTGTATGTATCGTATTCTGAGTATATGATTGTCGTTGTTGTTGTATTCTGTCGTAATGTGCCGAATTTTCAAATACCCAAATACTCTTTTCAGTCAAGAATTCGGTAGCTATGTAACTTTAATGAGAAAACCATTCTACCAAGTCAACTGATGTAAATAAGCGTCAATTAAACGAACCACACACATACTTTGCCTTAGAGTTTGCAGTCAGAGACAGATTTTGGCGGGAAAATGAAATTTTAAATTTCAAATAAAGATGAAAAAAAACATTTTGCGAGACATTATTTTCATCATATCATATGAGGAAGAAAAAATTCTTTACAATTTCACATTGAGGAGAAAAAATTGAAAAATTTTAAAAACCACAAAACACCACAATAATGTAAATAAAAAATAAACGCCATTCCAAAGATACTGAAGACATGGCAATATCTTTGAGATAATTATGTGTAGTAGGTATGCGCGTGTGTGCATGTATGTGTGTCCGTGTGTGTACATGTATGTGCGTGCGTATGTATGTGTATGAGAAATGTATGTATATAGATACGTGTATGTGTGTGTGTGTGTGTGTGTGTGTGTGTGTGTGTGTGTGTGTGTGTGTGTGTGTGTGTGTGTGTGTGTGTGTGTGTGTGTGTATAAAACGCGAAGACAAAATGTTAGTTTGATAATGACGATGATGATGAAACGACAGCGCTTATGAGGATAATGCATGGCATGGAACGTGATAACTGCCTATATATATATATATATATATATCAATCTATATATATATATACTACCATCATAAATTTTTATAAAATTATAATTATTATCATCATCGTCGTCGTCTTACTCATCGTTATCATTACCGAAAGCCATCATCATCATACCTGTGTCGCATACTATCGGGTCAAATATATATATATATATATATATATATATATATATATATATATATATATATATATATATATATA